TTGATAATATATCGGGCATGAAATGCTGCGGAATAGTTTCATCATAACTTGAAACCTAAACATATAGAATATAGATTCACCTTAAATCGTAAATAATCGTATCGAAGTTCAAAATGTTATTTGATAAAAATTATTATAGTTACTACTACCTAATTGGTAATAACTATTAAGTACTAATTGGTATAACTTGTAATAATACACGAAAAAAAGAGCTCCAAGGCTCCAATCTTTTATAACTTTTTAAAAAATAACCTAAACATATAAATAATAAAGGATAATGGTATAAGTAAATTTCGACATTAAATATAGATTCCTTTTTTAAGAAAAAATCTCGATTTTTTATCAACCATACTACTACCAATTTACTTACAGATATGCACCTATATATATAACACAAAAATGCTGCGATCGCTCACTGATCGCTATTTTTCAAAAATGATATTACGATTACGTACGAACCTGAAATTTGGAATAGTAGTTCTTCTAGGCTGTAATTCTCTAGATGTGCAATTAGAAAAGATTTTCCTAAATATTTGCATTTTAAACACCATTAATATACTGTAAAATATGSAGAATATTAAATAACGAATTAAAAAAGTTTGAATCATATTACATTTTTAACGAACGACGAAGTGCACGGAGTCAGCTAGTACACTTATATTTGTAAGTAAAATAAAAAATGTGAATACCTGTGTGAATTGGTAATTAACGAAACTTAATTATAAAATAGCAATTAACAGAGTTTTCTGTTCAGTTATTCTACATAGACACAATAGACATGGTCATGATAAATCAAATTAACCAAAAAGTTAATTGCAATAACTAAGATAATTTACTAATTTGTTAAAACTATATTTTAGTAGTTTCCTTATGAAATAGTTTGTTCAAAAATGTATTCCTAAATATTAACATATTAAGTTTATTGATGTTGTCAAAAATTAATATAATCAGTTTTTTTAAGTAATGATTAATGTGTTAATAGTGTTAATAACTACCTAATCTAACCTAATTTATTAATACATCCTAAGATATTTCTCTGAGTACCTATATCGTGTATGAATTACAAAGTATATACTTAAGACCGAATATCAATAATTCCATTTTAAGATTATAGTAAGACAGTAGAAATAGTAGAATACTTCTATAATACAAGAAAGTATAGGGTAATCTGAGTTTCGAATTAATGTGTAGGTCATAAGTTTACACAAACTTTTTTTGGGAGGTGATTAGAGTTTTAATTTCTATAATTTTTTGATCATGAAATATTTTTTTAGTATTATATAAAATAATGGTATATTGTATTATACAATCTATAATAAGAAGGTTATCTTTTTTGATAGGGTGAAATAAATTATTAAAACCTATAAGTTTTAAAAATCTGCTTCCTAATAASCTTTGAAAGTTATTAAATGCTTATTGCTTCAATAAGCATTTCGATGTTACAATTTTATAAATTATATGTGATAAGTTGATAACTTATTATTTGCTTGTTTTTGTGATCTAAATTATATATAATTGACAATATATTTTTTTTAGTTGTATATATATCCCATTATAATTAATTATACCTAACATTTAGAAATTGATAAACATTTATTGGGTACYAGCTGTTGTATTATTATGTAACAAAATTTTAGAAATCGTGATAAGATATAATATGTTATTAAATAACAATGATGTTATTTTATCATGGTAAAATTGACGCAGCTAAATGAAAAAAAATATATTTCACCAATAATCACCATTTCATAAAGCTGATATGCATTAAAGCATATCATCAGATAATCGATAATCTATAAGACTATAAGTCTAGCTATAATACTTATAATTTTTTTATGAATTACATTAAGTGAAGTACAATGTCATATTATAAAAATGTTTTTTTTTTCATACATATAACCAAATAGTTATTTCATATTTTTTATTAGAGTTGTTAAATACCTACTTTTTATTTTTCGTAAGTCTTTATGTTTAGATATAACATAATATTACTGAATATTCGAATAGTAAATATTTAAAAAAATTTATATTTTATTATGACTACCTATGTCGTTTGTATAGAATTGTAGACGTATAATATAGCAAATATATTAGTAAACTATATATGGTAATGTGGTAGCCTACTAGGTATTAGTAAATATCATATCCACTATTCRTGTCCAATACAATACCTACTAACTAATTCGTGTTAGTATAGTTACAGTCGCATAGCTCATACCTACACAATACATCATTGTATATAAAACAAATGATCATGTTACAATAAACGCATCAACTTAAAATTAAGTACATACCTACCTAATAGGCAATGAGTTATGTGTATTATGTTAAGTGTTACATCGTTTAAAATTAAAACTACCAATAATTCAACATATTAAGTTGAATATAGTTAACTGTATTTGCGATTTGGGACCGTCCGAGGATAGGATGTGGTTTTTATTAAAATATTATCCTCTGCAAACGGTTACACGTGTTAAAGTTTTGTATTTCATTTAGAGGTGGAATTTTAGAGGACTCGAGAGGTGAGTAAAGGGGCCTTTGCTTCAAATAATTCCTGTCAACGATGAACTCAATTCTTCTGGCTCTCCCTATGATGGTGCTGGTGCTACATAGTATAGATTTCAAGCGATGCACTTGGGTTAAAGTCGTATATTATTACATTGTACACACTACATATAGCACAAACAGGCGGTCACTGCAGTTGAATATAGGTGGGTGGGCGGGTGTTAATGGGTTATAAGTTGGTCGTGTAAAAATACGTTGTGATTGTAGTATATACAGCCGAGACAAGTAGGTGAACGCGAAAACGGACGTTTCTAAATTTTTCGGATTGGCCCAGATCGGATGAGGGACGGGACACAAGCAGACCTCTGACCTGCACTGTGTGTACGCGCGCGCATCATCGATTGCATATTTGCATTTGCATCCTACAAATATAATATACGAAAACAGAAATAGAAGCATAGATTATTTTCGTATATATACTTACCTATATGTTCAGGTTATTTGTAAGATTTTGGACTACACACTTAATTTCACTGCTTTAAATGGAAATTGTATTCTCGTTAGTTCGTTACTGTCTTAGAAAAATTATATGTTACATATATGTTTTGACAATTTAACGATGCAATTAAATAAAACAACAAAATTCAGCAAATACTTATATATCGTGTAGTATACCTATAGTGGTATATTATTTCATTTTTGTTTTGTATACCTATTAGTGCACAGTGCACTCYGCACACACGTTCAAATCGTAGTGCACACGTCTTGTACACTCATGGTGCTCATAAAAATAGGGCCTGTGCAGAGGCGGATTTAGGCATGTGAATGCATTTTGGGCCCCCTAACACATAAATAAGAAAATATATTTTTTTACTTATTAAATAACATTTATGATCATGTTTAGTATACTACTATAGTAGTAACAATTATAACTACTTATTAAATAATAAACAATTATAAAAACAATCAAATCAAGTATAACTATAGTATAAGTAATATCATCATAAGCGCAACTAGGGGGGCTGGGGGGGCTTAGCCCCTCCAAATAAATTAATCAATTGATTCTTAAAATATTAATAAACTTTTAAAAATGCAGCTGTATTTATTTATTTATTTTTTTTTTGGAAAGTTTTTAAAGTTTAAAATTATTTTATATTGCCTACCTTTCTATAAATAGTGCCTAATATACCAGAGTCCTATACTTGACATATTTCATCTTTTCTATGATACAAGTTTTTATCGTTCGTATTATGTACGCATCACTTGTTAATTGGCGATTATCACTGAAAATCTGTTACGACTTACAGGTACACTGTATATAGCGAATAAATACGTACTTAAGATCTACAATGGAGCAAGATAGATTTTGTAATTTATCGATATTAAATATTGAAAAAGATATAGAAATTKATCCCGAGGTCATTTTGGAACAATTCACAGCCATCAACAAAAGAAAAATGAATCTTATATAATATGTCAAATGTCAATAATTATTTCACGATGCATATAAAATATATCATTAAAAGTAAATGTTGGTATTAATGGTGTTTAAATTTTAAGATGGCGTTGGGGGGGCATAGCCCCCCACGGGTTACTTTTGGTATAATATTGAGGTGGGGCTATAGCCCTCCCCTAAGATTTTGTGCAAGTTGCGCCACTGAATATCATCATAATATTAGGTGTARGTAATTAAATAAAGAATAATAAAAGTAATAACGTCAGGTAATCAAAATTAAATGCCTGGAACTTTTCTTAATTTCATTTGTACAAACTTATCAACAACGTTTTGAAAATCAACACCGATTAAGGATGGCATAAAAACCTATACATTATCTAGATTCTTAGACACCGTTCATTGTCAACAAACGTGAATACATMTATTAAATTACAGTTAGTAAAATTACATTTTTTAAATGTCCAAATAATGTTCAATATTATTTAATTACATAATTATTAATACAAAATATTATGCGTATTTAATATATAAATAAAATATTTTTTCTGTATCCTAATTCAAATATCATAACATTGGTGGGGCCCTGCATTTGTGGGTGCCCCTGGGCTGCAGCCCACTCAGCCCTCCCCTAAATCCGGCCCTGGGCCTGCTTAACCTATCGATATTGGACCATGAAGTCGGGTCGACCTGCGTGCGCCTCGTGCTCTCGATTCGCGCGACCCACGAAATCATCGGCGGCGGTGTAATACCTCGACGGGGGGAGGGGACGCGTGCGGGCCACGGGAGAAAAACACGATCCTCGGGCCGCCGTGCTCCTGTGCGGACGACGACGACGATAATAATAATAATATAACCTTGGCCCATTTCGCACGGCCGAGACCGTGTTGTCGGTCGAGGGGGGAAATWCGGTCGTCCGTGAGACTGCGGGTCGTGTACCCGTTTGACGGCGGCTGACCGCTACGCGGCGCTCCGGTCGTCCGTATCGATCTGCTGGGGGGGGAGGGTGAGGGGGACCTTCCACTCCATACCAACACAAGCATTCCCACCGAGCGGCGAGCGAACGCCGACAACCTGTTCCGGGCACGGCCGTACGGCGAATGGCTACTAGCTGCTGGCTAAGACTAATATTGTTCGCTGCCGTCGGTCCGTCGCTCGACGTTTCCGTCTGTCACATTGTACGCGGTACGCACAGCGAAAACGCGATTCGCCGTGGTAGTGCACCGAGAGTGCCCAGTGCAACGTGACTCCGTGCGCAGCGTACGCCGCTCAGAACGTGATCGCGACGACGGCCACCGCGCGCCATTGCAGCAGCAGCAGTAGTAGTAAACGGCAATCGTGTTTGAGAACCGGCAATTCTTCTAACACGTCCATCGTTTTTTCCGTTTACGACACGGTTTATTTTTTAAATTTTTTTTTATTCTGTCTCCAGTACAATAATTAATTACAAAGCGATTTAATACTGATACTAGGCCGTGTGTTGTTATTGTTGTAAGAATACAAAAAAATATCAATCCGTCGGCCCCCGGCGCAGTGTCCGCTAGAGTGCGTGTAACATAATTCCTTTGTTTACCTGTTCGCACTTATCCCCTGCCGACCCTGCAGGCCGGAACCACTCAGCAGCTGATATCTCAGGAGTTTGTATCAATATTTTGCCATCATAACTAATAATAATAATTTAAAACAATAAAACACGCACGCTCGCACAAAATCTGCGTTCTCCGTCATCCGTCCAACGGCCGCTGTGTCCTTCGACCCCTCTCCTTCCCCCCCTCCCCACCGGGAACGTGTACTCATCGCGAGTTTTAACTATTTGACTCTAAATAGGCAGACAACTCGAACTCGACGTCGGCCCGACATGTGTCCGCGAGTGTAACGACCGACCGACGGGGATACCCGCGAGTATAATACCGCAGCGTGCGTGTCGTGTTCGTCGGCCACCGCGATGTCCAGYGGCGGCCGGTGGGTGGTGTGCGTGGCTCTGCTGTTGCAGTTGGCCGCGCGGTCCGAGRGCAACTGGCTGAAGAACTTCGCCAAGCCAAAGCCGCAGCTCAGGCTCATGGAAGGCGTCACCGAGCATTTGCACAACGTCATGCCGTACGAGCAGGTGCAGTTCAGCAGCCCGAACGTGTCCACGGCGTACATCAGCACCACCAAGTTCCAGGCGGCCGGCATGGGACATTTGTACTTCATCACCAACAAGTTCATTCAATACATACTGAGCGACCAGGCTTTCCCCGAAGGTGAGGTTTACTTGTAGCGTGTCCATCGACACCGTTTTGATACGGGTTAAGCCGGGATCACTCTGCGGATGTCGCGTGCAGTTGTGCTCAGATCTGCCTTTTTAACTCAATACCGACATCGTGTGTGGTCCGAGGTATGGCCAATCTATATGCCTTCTTTCAAAACGACCATGACTCGACGGTTGAGTGAACCCGGCCTAACCGTTTGTCCGCTGGCACTAGAGCGAATTCGTTCAAACACATATTTCAAAAAAGTTAAGCGATCCTTTAGTATACGATGTGAATGTGCACATGGTCGAGTTAACTGTGCAAACTGTAGCCGTGTACTTATTTATCTGAGGTGTAGCTTAGTAATCTTTTTTATTTTACAAGTGGGGGGTAAGATAAATCTGCCAAAAATAACTAACCAATGATCAATGAAAACCTGCAACATTGCCAACGGAATAATATTTTACGTTTATTTTTACTAATTAATATTGTTTAGAGTACAATTAATAATGTGTAAGGTTAGAATAGTATTCTATACGTCTCAAGTCTCATTGATTTCTTACAGACTGAAAATTARTTTCAAGTGTTTATTCTATGTACTATTTCTCTATGCACTTTAAATAACTCAATTACTTGAGTAGCATAATATTTTGATGTGTAAGTAGGTAGTTGTTAGAACTGTTAAAAGGTCACAGTTTTTCATTGTTTTTTTTTTCTTTAATCAGAACATCGACTAGGTACCAGGTTACATTAGTTTAAAATTGTGTTTATTTAAAATTATTATGTTCATAAAAGAATGTTGACAATTCACTAAAATTGTGTTTAATTGTACATTGGTATTTAAAAAAAAAATTTAAAAATACATACCTGTAATATATTCATTATTTATCCAACAGACAACAGTGTAGTACCTATTTCATTAGGTATGTTAAATATGATTCGTTAGATTTTGAGTATCTAGTTATTGAGTTATTAATAATATAAAGTTATTTTTACTACTGAGTAGCCCACACAATATACTTAGGTACCTAGATGAAATATTTTATTAACATGATTAAAATTTACGAGGTAGAAGTAATTTATTGATCTAATGTTACTGTATTCTATACAAAAATGTATTGTAATATATAATCTCCGATATTACCTATCTAAATTTGAATAATTAGAAATAATATTAAATATTTATTACAGTTAATGGCRTTTTATATAGATATACATATTGTTACTTGTTAGTAAGTACCTGAGAGATAGGTAGTAATATTATCATTTTTAATCTCATTTTTTTATTAACTCCCCGGAACAGAAAAAGGTAATTGAAATATGATAGTATCAGTTTACATAACATTAATTTTATGGTTGAGAAATTACTATGGTTGTCTGAACCAGACCTTGGCATTTTTTTTCTTCATGAACATCTATAAATCAATATCATTATTGTAATTATTACTTATGCTTTGAATTAAATATCTATACTCTATAGGATAGATAGGCAAGTTTAATTAAGATTTTTAAAAAAATTGATCTTATGTAGGTATTTTAAATATCCAGGTATTACAAATAATTTAATCCAATAAAAAAAAAATTATTTAATTATTTTGACACTTATTGATGAATCATAGTAAAAGTAGGTTAGGTAGGTTTAATGTTTCTCTATTATATTCTTTTGGTACGTTGTTCCTTTTTTTTTTTGTAACCATGATATTCAGTACAATAAGTCAAAATTAGAATTTTTAAATAAAATGTATAAATAAATATAGTTAAAAATKATAATTTTACGTACTTAACCTACATTTTAGAAATTTTGATTGGTTCCTCAGTGTATCTGTTTAACAATATACGATATCAAGAAATGATTATATAAAAGTATACACCTATATGTATAAATATATATATATATATAATATTAAATTAACTTACCAACAACAAAGAAAGTTCTATGTCAACAATACTACTCCTCTACCACTATATCAATCAAGATATCAATTATATATATTTAGATTGTTCTCTCCCTCATCAAATACTATAAAAAATATTTGTAGATTATTATAATCCCTGTTATTACCAGTATTATGCTAAGTCCAATGCATACCTTGGTTGATTAAATATTTAGAAATAGTTGATACACATTTATTAGTTATTTACTGACTATTGAGATGTCATGCTATTTATTAAATATTATAATATATTAATAGTATATCAATATTTATTTCTAATATCAGTTTCCACTGTCCAGTAATATATTACAAAAAAAAAAGTTATTATTTAAACTTATAACTCATAAGTATCTATTGAATTCCATAATGGTTATTCAAATAATTAAATATGTGAACACGATATTCATATTTTATAAAGGAAAAAATATTTATTTTTTTCATTTTCTAAATAAGTACATAATATGTATATTCTATATTATTTACACTCTACAATTTTACAAGCTAATTAAGGATAGATACTTGTCTTATTACTATTTTTACAATATAATAATGTTGGCTTTTTCCTATAAGCATTTTAAATAATGTAAATAACAATAAATAAATAATAATTTAAAATGTATTACAAAATAATTTGTGTAGGTACTACCTACCTATGTTTAAGAATTGTTTCTATCTAAATTCTATACAATTTAACTAATTATAATACATAATTTGTATTTTTTTACACATTAATAAACAATTKATCAGCTAATATAATAACATAAATTAASCTACTAAAAGAATTCACAAAATTATAATAATAGTTATAATACAATAGTTTTTATTTAGGTAACTATATCAACAATTGCATATTTTTTAACAAAATATTAATTCCTATCAGAAAAAACCATCATACCCATCATAGCCATTAAGTATGCGGTGGATAAAAAGCTTGAACTAAAATTATTACGATTAACTATTGTTTGATTTTGTTGTGATGGTTTTGATATACCAGTACTGCGCCTTATAGCTTTTAACCATTTTGAGTACCGATTTTTTTGTTCTTCTTCTGTGGTTGTTGGTTTTAATATTTTAAGTGACCACTCATGACTTCCTAGTACAATATTTATGACTCTTGCAGCTGCTTTAGCTGAACCATATATTGCCATGTCGTCTGTCATTTGTGAGCTTATTACATCTACTCCCAAAATATCAGCTTGATAACTTAATATATTATTGTATATAGAGTAAAGACCATCTACAAACAACTGAGATGGAACTATATTTGTATCCTTTTCAAATGCTACACATACATCTTTGGTATGAAAGCAGAATGCTTCTAATGCGGCTCGAATTATATGTTTTTTGTTAGTAAAATGAGTCATACCACATATAATACCTCTGGCATCTGGTTTCCAATGTGGTGCTGCTAATCCATTAAAAGCAGGTACAAAATATACATCACTTGCATCTATATTTAATGTTTCTATTTCTGCATCATTGTCAACAATTTTCATATTTTTCTTGAGCCATTCTATTGCTTTTCCACCGACTGATGTCCAACCTTCAAAAGCATAAACTGCTGGTTCTTTATCAATTTTGTATGCTACTGTTGTGATTAATCCATTAYTAGACCTTTTRAATTCTGTTCCTATTATACAAGATACTGTACAACTATCACCATAATTACTCATTATTTGACCAGGTTTATCGAAATGTAATCCATACAAAGCAGCTTGATGATCGGCAAATATTGATCCGATTGCTATTCCTTTTAAATGTGTTTCTTCTATAGTTCCATAGTGTTCAGATGAACTTTTAATTGTTGGAAGTAAGGAAATTGGAACATTAAAAACTCGACAAGCATCTGGAGACCACTCCAAAGTTTTTAAATTCATTAATAATGTCCGAGAAGCATTAGTAATGTCCGTCACATATAAATTACCTTTAGTAAGCTTCCAAACTATCCAAGTATCTAATGTTCCAAATTTAATATTCTTCATATTAGTCGATTGTTTTATTATATGTGTATTATTAATTATCCATTTTAATTTAATTCCACTGAACATTGATGTTACTTTTGAACCAGTCGCATCTTCAATATCATAAAGTTCTTTTGGGCAATTTGATATACAGTCTTGGATGATGGTGTCTGTACGAGTATCAGTGTAATGAATCGCATTACAGAGCGGTTTGCTTGATTCAATATCCCATGCTAATACAGTATCTCTTTCATTTATAATCCCAATTATCTTAATGTTATCTTTAGATAAATTTTTTAATTTTAGTTTATCTATTACCTCGTTAATAGTAGCACACAATGCATTCCAAATATTTTCAGCATCTACTTCAACCCATCCAGGGTATGGTTTTATTAGTTCGATAGATCTGTATGAATCCAACACAATACTTCCGCCGTGGTTGAGTACGGAGAATTTGACAATTTCAGATTCGACATCAATCACTCCAATTAATTGTTCATCYGTCATTTTGGCTGTGTGATATGAATTATGTGGTCGTGTCTTGTACTAAGCTCAAATATTGACTGCACTCCACAAGTGTATGTATCAATATTATATAGTTCCACTTTTCAACTGATTATACGATGCAGCTGATATCTATTATTCACTAATGGGTTGAATAGGTCGAATTGTGCAATATTATTTATATATTTCGCTAGTTATCTATGATACCTATATCCCATTTGTTTGATTATTTATAGTGAAGCTTTTTTGATTCGTGTTTATGAACTTTAGACTTTCATTAAAACGGAAAATAAGAATAAAAATTGTTTAAAATAACGCGAATAAAATACACATTATTATGAAATGATGATATACCCTGATATCGGTCTTCTAATGTTCTGTGATATTAGTAATACTAAAGAATATAGATTATATCTGAAGGCTGGACTGTTTGTGCGTCACTATATTGGTGATTTCCAAAATGTGATTATCTACTTTTACTGATTTAAATCGAACATTAAACTACGAAATATTCAATGTAACGACGATTAAATATCTCACAAACTACTAAACAGTAAATGATGTTATTAAATCGATGAATATTTGGGTAGCGGGTTGAAATGTCTTGTGATAAAGTGTATGTTATGTTGATAATGGTTCTGCACGTAAATTGTGCCATAGGCGAATATAATTTAAAAACAATTATTAATCAATTTTAATAAACAAAATACTTATTATCAGCTGCGGATAAATTATATCAGTAATGATGAATGATAATGATCCACTGGAAATGTTCGAAATATTTTGCCACGTCGGAATGAAATATTATGAATGACGACTGACGAACTTCATCAGTTTCGTACGAATGTGACTGAGTGTGTGTACAATATACGTTTGCTGGTAACACTGCAAAGAAAATAATTCACAACACACCGTAGAATGTGGATACACCGGATCTTAGTGTTCGCAGTTTGAACTTTTATTATGTCCACATTTTTTTGATTAAAAAAGTTATTATTTTTTTTTTTTTATAACCTTTTTGTTGCTGTTCGTCCGAAGGCATTTAGGATAATCGAATTTCGGTGTTGTTTGAAATTAAAATAACACATTTTTTTACCAGCATCGGATGTTGWCTTTATGATTAAAATATCGTCCATCAATTTTAAAATGCTCAATTATCCGCACCGTTCTAAATCGAATTCCATACTTCATGGCTTACTATAAGAATAGTACATTCGTAAAATTACTTACGGTATACGTACGTACTGTGCGATTATTATGTTACTATTATATTATACTACCCAATTTTAACGGAAAAAAACCGGACAGGATATGGTGAATGGGTATTGGGCACTGGTCCCGCTTCGCTCACTTCACCACAATATCGTGATGAATTATTATTTATAAACAACTAGAAAAAAAAAAATGAAAGCAATGATGCAAATCACTGAGTTCGAGAAACGATTCAGAAGAGAGCTAACTAGCTCGAATAAAGTTTAAATCCGCGGCTGTTATTGACATTTGAAAGATAAGAAATCAATAATAAATATTCWATGTTTGTGGGTTGTCTGTAATCTAACTTGCAGTTTATAGTATAAACTTTATACCCCTAGAAATAACTAAAGAAAATTCAATTTTCAACATCTTCAACGCCTGTTTCGGTGTCCTAAATTTTAATTGATTTTTCTTCTWTATATACAGAAGGAAGACTGTGTAAAACTTATGATGCACGGTAAAAACTATATCATAAAATCTGAACAATCTTATTTTATAATAGGGCACAACAAATGATTGGAATTACAATAAATAAATTTTAAAAATAAAACAGTACAAACTACAGCACAGTMTAATTTAAAAATATTTCAGTCAGAATGCATAAAGGTGTTTAAATAATAAATCTGAAATAACACGTGTAAGCCAATTAATGCTTAAAAAATCTTTAAGAAAATAAATGTAGTTATGATTAAAATCGTTTTATTAATTAAAAT